CAACTCCCAAACACACCCCCACACGCGCATCATCCTGCCAACCACCAAATCATGAAACGACAGGATAACCTAACATCAGTCAACCTGCCACCGACGCCATGCCCACCGAGTCCGACGACGATGAATACTGCACCGTCCGCATTCCTCGCAAATATCTTGATCGTCTCCCCGCTGATGTTCGTTCAACCGCGAAACCCCTCAAACGCACCGACAACGCCGGGCCCGGCGCTGGCCCCGTTCCCCCGAAGGATGAACCGCCGGAGGCGCTGCTAAAGAGGCTCATCTACAGTCTCGACCGGCAAATCGTCAGCGAACTTTGGAAGGAATGGGGTCAGCAGCCACCCAACCTAGATTCGATCTAGGCGCAGGCTGAGAAGGCGCGCAAAGAGGAGGAGGCGCGCAAGGAGGAGGCGCAAAAAGTCGAAGCCCTCATGCGTGAAACCGCTGAGCTGCGGGCCAAGTTCCATCAGTTGCTTGCCGAAAACAAGGAACTTAAACAACAACAACAATTCACAGTCAGCACTTGTAAGTCGCATTAACAACACTAGCAGGTGGTCAAATAAATGCTAACCACCCTACAGACCAAAAATCTGCGCCTTTGCGCCGCTCCACGCGAACCAATCCCTTGGCCAACGAGCCTCAACCCTTCGGCACTAACCCCGACGCCTTGCTGCCAGTGTCATCTACGGCCAAGGACACAAACTCTGGCCGCAGTTTTCGCACTGCCGATACAGATCCTCTCCCCTTGCCACTGCAGCCCGCAAGTGCAGAGACAGCGTCATCAGCGGCGACGGGCAACGATCCTACTGCGCAAGCTGACAGCGTCAACAACCACCCGTCTTCACCCTCAACCACCTTGTTGGCAAACGGTGCCAACGGAACGACGAGTGCGGTACAACCTAACGCACTTCCAACAAAGCCAGCCTATCCGTCCGCCGTCGGAAAGCAACGCCGCCCGCTCCCTAACCACCGCCCGCCGACTATACACGCTGAAAAACTGGGGCAGAACCTAGTCAGCACCATTGAGGAGTTTTCCAAAGATTGCGAAGGTTACTTCAGCGGTCTGCTCCACGTTAGTGATATTGAGCGTCTCAATACCGACGAAGTGAGAAAATGCGAGCTCGAAAAGGATCACGACCTCCTGGCAACACGAAACGAGTTCAGTCCTGGCGACGATGGCGCCTGCCGGGTTTATGTGGATAATAAGGAGTTTGAGTGGTTTGATCTTTCCGACGGGAACCGGGAGCGTCCTTCGTCAGAGGATGCCGAGGCGTTCGCCAATTAATTTGTCGACGAGACGCAAGCTGCTTGGTCTGCAGGACGTGGACGCAGAAGGCACACGAGGATGCGCGGGCATCTTCGCCAATATTATGG